GATAGGAAATAAGGATTCCACAAGTAGTAGCTGCTATTGAAGATTTAAGAGTTATTTATTACAACTACTTCATAAGATTTTTAAACTAATACACTTAAATTATTCAAGAGCTTTGAAATGGGCTGGGCGCAGTGGCTCGTGCCTAGAATCCCAACACTTTGGGAGGCTGAGGCGGGTGGATCACCTTAGGTCAGGAGTTCGAGACCAGCCTGGCCAACATGATGAAACCCTGCCTCTACTAAAAATACAAAAAGTTAGCCGGGCATGGTGGCATGCACCTGCAGTTCCAACTACTTAGGAGGTTGAGGCAGGAGAATTGCTTGAACCTGGGAAGTAGAGGTTGCAGTGACCTGAGATGGTGCCACTGCACTCCAGCCTGGAGAGAGAGCAAAACTCCATCACATACACACACACACACACACACACACACACACACACACACACACACACTTTGAAATTGTCTTAATGGGCTGTACTCTTCATTTAAGAAATTCATCTTTGTTCACTTATTTTTACTTGACATGAGAGTTTCCAGCAATTTTTAATTAAGCCCTCACAGATTTTATGTCATTGGCTATGTGAAAAACAAATTATTTGCTAAAATAATATCCTTGCTTCTTTTTTTAGGAATTGTCTCCCTTGAAAGAGTTTGTACAGAACAATACACCAAATTTGTACACAAAATCAGATCTGATTGGCAACAGTTGCAGATGTTTTCAAAAGATTTTCATTTGAGAAGGGGCCCATTTGGGTTATTTAGATTCTAAGAACTGAAACTGCTTTGTTAGTTCTGTTTTTCTGGCTTCTGGGAGAGGCGGAGACATGAATTCAGTTAGCACCTTGGTATTTTCTTTATCCTTCATTTCAATACAGGAGATGCTTCATATGCACAGGGGTGTCAGGTCACATCAGAAGAAAGAGAAACAGCTTCTTGGTTTTTAATTTTCAACCAAAAAGGAAAGGCACCGGTTTTGTTCTGCTCTAATTAGCCAGTGCATGACTTAGAGAGCAGGCAGATGCTTTGAAGGTGTTGTAACACAGGTCTTCATTAATCTCCACACAGGACTTTCACTTCTATGCCTAGGCTGAAGGAAATGGCTCAGAAGACAACAGTCTCACAGAGCCCTAACTAACTCGACAGGTGTTACAAAGAACAAGTCAAGAGGGTGAGAAACTGACCTTCTTGAAATCTCCCACTTCGTTCTACATCAGAAGAGCAAAGTTGATTATTTTGGTTGGCATTTAGAAATTAAAAAAAATTATTCTAAAGTCATGAACAAGCCTAATTATAAAGATAGTTGCTGTGAAGATGCTGAGATAACTGGATTTTACCAGCCCCCCTCTTCTGGAAGAAGCCAGAATGGAATCCTGTAGAACATTCACTCTACCAATAAACACTTGTTTTTCTAATGAGGAAACTGAGACCCACAGTAGTAAACTATCTTAACCAGGATGAAATGACTAGGGCTCTGGTCCTTTAATTAAGCACTAAAATTTTGATCCAATAATAAATCTGTCCGGTGAAAGGAATTTCCCTAATGCACTGGTTCTAACTTGTTCCCTTCAAGGGGCCAGTGTCCCATACACACAGCTAAATGGGATTTCTTTTCAACTACCATTACCCAGAGGACAGAGCCTAAAATGCCATTCTGCTGTTCACCTCTCAGCAGCAGTGGTGCACCTGAGGTTCGGCAAGTCCATCTAGAGCCTATATCTGCTCAGATGTTAAACCCATCTAATTCAGTGAACACTTTGTTCTAGTTAACTGAGCATCTACTTTGTATAAGGCACTACAGCGGTTCAGAGATGAATAAAATCATGAGATTCCACTGTCTCCTATAAACCATCACTTTGGGAAATTTTAGAAATGTGGGTAAGCTCCAGGGCTGCCTGAAGCGTAGAAGTCACAAACTCAAATGCCTGCAGAGGCCAGCTGACAATATAAATGAATGATTCTAGCTGAGTGGAAAACAATTACGGGTGAGTGGGTTTCCAGCTGGGGAGTGCACGCCTATATTAAAGGACAGCTGCTACTCATTTCCAGCCAACTGTGTTCCCGTGTAGAACTGTGGCCCAGTGTAGCCAGTACCGAAGATTTCTCAGAAAAAGCCAGGAATCTCAGTTAGTGTAAAATCTCTCAAATTTCCAAGAGGATTGTATGGGGCAAACATTCTCAGATCAGTTTGCAGTCTCTGCCCATGTGCAGAGCAGTCAAAGAGAGTAGTGTGCAGTGCCCTACATAATAATTCTTTTTTATTTTCTTTTATACCTTCCTCCTTCCTGTCTCTCTTTAACCTTTCTGCTTCCCTCAGGCTGCCTTCTTCCCTCTGCCTCCTCCGACTCCAGCCTGGGTTCAATGAACATTCAGTTCATTGAACTGAAGTTCAAGGAACGTGGAGTGTCAATTGCAGGTGCGTTAGAGACAACCTTGAGAAACATTCCTACCTTCCTCTTGTGGTAAGCACTTTGCTGTAGATTTTTAATTTTAAACAAGACAATATTTACGACTTGCTTCTTTCAGGGAAGAGCAATATCAATTTTAGTAAACACTTCAAGGCTGAGATACGCTAAGAGGGTCATGTGGTGTCGCACAGTGAAGAATTCCACTTTGAAACAAGTGAAAAAAAGCACTAAATGCCACATGTAACTCACTGCCTGAAGGGTTACATTAGTATTAAACCTGGCTTTAAAAAGGGATGGAATAGGCTAGCCATTAAAAGACCTGCATACAAATACAATCTCTCTCTCTCTCTCTTTCTCTCTTTCTCTCTCTCTCAGAGATAATGTGAGTATCTGGACAATAAATATGGACAGAGTGGAGTCTATCCCATTTAAAATATTGCCCACTGTGCAGGCACCAGGAGCTGAAGGTTCAGAATATTAACAGTGGGAACTTGATTAGAAGTCGTTGAGAGATGGTAATAGGAGGAGGAAAGATGGATAGAGGAAGAAGACATGGGGGTTATCCATAAGTGTAAACTAGAAAAGAAGTATCAGTTGGCCATTAAAGGGCATGGGACTGAGGAACAGTATGACATGTATTAAGTATAGTAAGAGCTGACACTGGAGGACTAGGAAGGTAAATGGAATCAACAGGGGATGATGGAGAATGGTTAGGTATGCATGGATTCGGGTTATGATAGAGGCACATGTGAATACATGCAGAATTGTCCTGGAAAATGGTTAACAGCTGACTCTCCTGGCGGTGGGGAGGGGGACGGGGGGGGTGTGAGGAGACACCCTGATTTGTCATATTTGCTTATTTCTGTGGTGCAAATACTCCTACTGTGATCAGTTTCAAGCTATAAGTGTGCAGTCACTGAAAGCAGGGTTGGAAGGAGATGGGCACGTTTGCTCCCAGGCAAGGTGGAAGGTAGAGAAGGTGAAATCAACAAGGTCTAAGATAACTCAAGATTTCAAGGTGCCTCAGGTCTGAGTGACGATGAAGTCTAGTGGATGGCTGTGCTGAGGCGGCTGAAGTAGAGGTGACTGCAGAGGTCATGAAGCTGAAGAGGTGAAAACAGAGATTAGAAAGTCATCCCCAACTCCCCATCCCCCAACCCCCACCCCTATAACCAATTCCTGAGGGTGACCATAGAGGAAAGGGTGGGGGATGAAGCAAGCATGACATTGTGTTCGAGGGCAGCACATGACAGTGTGGGATGTCACATGATGTTGTGAACCATCATTTACGGCCAATTATGGAAGACTTTCTATGGGCATTTTGCCATGTGCATTATAAAGACGTGTAAGACAACATTTCTCTCCACTTGGTGCGGAGAATAAAGGCTGTACACAGGTACTCTAGAGCGCCATGTGCCTGGTACAGATAAGCTATGCTAGAGATTAAAAGATGAGGCTCTTGGGCCAGGTGCAGTGGCTCACACCTGTAATCCCAGCACTTTGGGAGGCTGAGGTGGGCAGATCACAAGGTCAGGAGCTCAAGACCAGCCTGACCAATATAGTGAAACCGCTGTCTGTGCTAAAAATACAAAAATTAGCCGGGCGTGGTAGCAGGCACCTGTAATCCCAGCTACTCAGGAGGCTGAGGCAGGAGAATCGCTTGAACCCGGGAGGCAGAGGTTGCAGTGAGCTGAGATCATGCCACTGCACTCCAGCCGGGGCAACTCCATCTCAAAACAAACAAACAAAAAAGATGAAGTTCTTAATATTAATGATAGATTCCACTTGTTTGAGTCCTTACAATGCACCTAGCATTAAGTGCTTTACTTGTATTCCCTTTGACCTTCAGAACAACCCATTTTACAGATAGGGAAATTGGGTCAGAAAGTTTCGGTAACTTATTCAAGGTCACACAATTGGCAAGTGGCAGAGCTGAGCCAGGGACTCAGGTCCTTCTGACACTAAAGAGTTTGTCTCCCCAATCACCGTGCTGTTTTCCCTCCCCCAGAAGATAATACTCTGCTGGAAATGAAGGATAGTATAATAGGAGATTTGGCGTTCCTTTTTTTTTTTTTTTTAAATGTTTTTTTTTTTTTTTTTTTTTTTTTTTTTTTTTAAGAATGTGGTTTCACCATGTTTTTTTTTTTTTTTTTTTTTTAAATGCAGCTTGCATATTCCTAAAGAGTCAATTCATGTTTAAAAAAAATTCCCTTGTGGTTGCATGTGACATGTATTTTTAGGATCTGCTGTTAGCAAGTGTATTTTTGTGTGATTGAGTGGGAGAGTGGGAAAAGTTCTGCAGAGCTGCTGAAGCCAGAATGCAGTGGGGACACAGCAGAGACTGTAAAATCTCTGCCATCTCAGGTCTTGGAACAACCACAAAGAGATGTGTTCTCGATTTATTATTCTATGTACATCCCCAGATGAATGACTAGTTAAAGGTATTGTTAAAGCATTTTAAATGATCCACTTCCAGCAGCGAACAAAATCACTTGCTGTGCCAAGCCAACTGGCATTTCTGAGATGATAAAACCACAAAGTGTGGAAAATGTTAAAACTGCTAAAGCAAAAATGATACACAATAATGGAGAAGGAGAAAAATTGAGCTTTATTGTCTGCCTAGGCAGATGGCTGACCACTAGGTGGGCCTTGGCGTCACGTCCAGGGTAATTGGTTGCTGGGGTTTTTCTGGCGAGGAAGATTCAGGCTTCGGCTTGGTCCACAAGATCCTGGCTCATTCTTTCCTACATTCTGTTTTCTGCCTTTTCTCCATGACTAGGTCTGATGGTTGATCCAAATGGGCACCTGAAATCAGAAGGTTACCTTTACCTTAAAATGCTTTTCTGGAAATAAGAAGACATAAAAAGTAACTAAGGACTGGATTTCCTAGCCGTCTTTCTCTCCTGCATGTACAATTATCCCCAGATATAAAATTGCCTGCTTTGATAATTATACCCTCCAAATGAGGGGCAAGTGGCTAATTATGCCCACATGTGGCCGATTGCACTCTCCATTAGCCAATTATGTGCACCATTATTTGTGCACATGAATAATTGCACTCATGGAAAATAGCAGCCCTCCTTTCAAATCCTCCTGCTTGGAGAGTAGCTGATGGAGTAATTGTCACACTGGAAATGAACTTGGTGGGGAGGGAAAGGGTATTAGATACCAGGAAACGCGTAAGTGACCAGAGCTCGCAGATGTTCACTGCCACAAATGGCCTTAGGAGCCAGAGAGCACGAGAAGGACCACGGGATGAAACCGGCCAGCCTGTGAGTTAGGAAGCCTGCTTCTGAAGTTGGCTGGGCACTCACATGTTGTGACCTTGGGCAAGTCATTAACTTTCCTTCAGGTCTAACTGGTTCTGCATACACAATGAGGGTGGTAATAACGCCCAATTCCCAGCACTATCGTAAGATGGAGCAGACCATTTAAAAGGATTTACAGTCTACTTGGGTAAAAGCTTTACATAAATATGACGCATTGTCATGTCACTTGGTACATCTCCAATTATGAAGGAAGGGTAATATCTCTCCATAGCAATGCCGGACTCCTGGTTTGGAGGGAGGGAAAGTTTGAGAAGGACAGGAAGCTTGCTGCCGCAGCACTGATGTTTCTACTGAGATACCAGAAAATGTCACGTGGCCATACAGAATTCATTTATTCATTCAACAAACATCTATCAATTGCTACATTTTCCTGAGAACTTGGAAAAATGATGAAAGATTCGGTCTTGCCTTAGGTGGTCACTGGCACATTGGCCTGGAAACCTCTCTTGGGCCTTTTACTGTGACCTGTGCTGTTTAGCAAATAAGGGGAAATTTTACCTCATCTAGGAAATCTGGCATGCATTTTCACGGTTTGATTGCCAGGTACATTCAATGGCAATGAGTCTTATAATGTTTGGTTACCTTCATTTACCTAACAATGTGGTTGCTTTGTTTTGTCTTGTTTTGAGATAGAGTCTTGCTCTGTTGCCCAGGCTGGAGTACAGTGTCACGATTTCAGCTTACTGCAATCTCCGCCTCCCAGGCTCAAGCTATTCCCGTGCCTCAGCCTCCTGAGTAGCTGAATTATAGGCACGCACCACCATACCTGCCTAAATTTTGTATTTTTAGTGGAGACGGAGTTTCACCATGTTGTCCAGGATGGTTTTGAACTCCTGGCCTCAAGTGATTCGCCCACCTCGGCGTCCCAAAGTGCTGGGATTACAGGCGTGAGCCACTGTGCCCAGCCAGAACTGTGGTTTTAATGAAAATGCTGACAAGTGGTATATGTCACAGTGTCAGGGGTAGGGCTAAGAGGGACACTGCTGCAGTGATCTGTCATTGAGGTCTCACATTCTTGCCTGGACTAGTGCAGCAGTTGCCAGCGAAGCACCACATTCTCTGCCACCAACCTAGCCCTTATTACCTCTCTATCTTTACCACTTGCCTGTGTCTCCATCTCCCCTCTCACATGCAGTAGAAAGAGACTCTCTACCTCATGGAGTAAGGAGAGGCTTCACAGAGGCAGGAATGCTGTTAGTCTTCAAAGATGAGGGGGTGTTTGCTAGATGAATGAGTTGCAGGGATTGGGGCCACATTACAGAAAGTTGAGGTATGGAATAGCCTGGTATAGGTTAAGAGTATGGACTCTGAAACCAGACTTGGCCTGGAATTGAATCCTGGCTGTGTGATGTTGGGCCAGTGACTTAACCTCTCTGTGTTTTTATTCACTCTTCTATAAAATGGGGATTATAATAAGCCTGCCTTATAAAGTTATTATAAGAATCAGTAAATATAAAAATAGAAGTTTTGGAGTGATGACTAGCACACGGTAAAGACTAATTGTTTGCCATTATTTTTATTACTTGACTAAAAATATACCAAAAAGACCATCCAAGAAAAGCCTTTAAGCTGCTACTGCAGAAAGAGTCCCCCAGTGTGTGGGGGGAGGATGGTGGGTGGGGGCGGAGGTCAGTGGCACCTGTGGCCCATTAGAGAGGGGACAGCTATGGCTGGAGTGATTCTCAAACTTTAGCATGTCTAAAGTCATCACGTGGACAACTTATTAAGGAAAACAAATGTCTGGACCACATCCTCCGGGATTCTCATGCACTGGGTCAGGATAGAGTCCAGGAATCTTTACCTTAAAGAACCATGCCCCGTCCCACCCCGTATGATTCTTATGCAGGTGATCTGGGGCCCACACTTTGAGAAATAGACTCACGTAGAAGTGGCTCTAACTGCATCTCCTGGCATATCTAATACTAGAGAAGAAAGCAATGCTAAGGTCTTTTGTTGAAGATCTTTTGCTGGGATTGCTGCCTCCTTCATTCACTCCTTTATGTATTTGTTTATTTAATTTGAAACAGAGTCTCACTTTGTCACCCGGGCTGGAGGGCAGTGGCACAATCTTGGCTCACTGCGACCTCCAGCTCCTGGGTTCAATCGATTCTCTTGCCTCAGCCTCCCAAGTAGCTGGGATTACAGGCATGTACCACCACGTGTGGCTAATTCCTGTATTTTTAGTAGAGATGGGTTTTCACCATGTTAGCTAGGTTGGTCTCGAACTCCAGACATCAAGTAACCTGCCCACCTTGGCCCCTCAAAATTAGTAGCTGGAATTATAGGCGTGAGCCGCCATGCCTGGCCTGCTGTTTCTTTTAGTTGGACCTCTTCTGTAATAGACAGTGAGAATTCTGACTTGCCGAAGTAATCCGCTCTGAGGCAGGGCTGTGTTTACTCCGTCATGGTCAGAAGTGGAACTGCTGGGCACACTTAGCAGCTTCCTGCTCTATTTTTTCTATATTTTCAAATGACATTTAAAATTTAATAAAAATATTTTAAAAATTAACATTACTATAAGATGAATCACATTTTTTTAAACCTTGTAAATGAAAAACATTCCTAAGCATGTGAGCATCTGAACTTAGCGGAACAAGGTGCCAAAGCTAAACACTCCCAGCTCTAGGTGATTCATGGCAATAGAAATGGAGCTGGACTCTGGGCATAGTGCAAAAATATTGAGCTGTTGTTAGATGCTCTGAAGTTTCCAAAAAGAGTTGGTTCTGTCTGCTGTGCTTCAACGCTTAAGGGGAGTGCTTCCTCCAAATGTTAGCTTTTAAGCCCAGCATTCTTAAATGGGAAGATTCAAATAGTAGCAAAAATATAAACTGCTTCTAGGTTTAAAAAGGACCCAACACACAATGGTTATCACACACCTTTCTCCTCAAGTGCTGAGTGGATGAGTGGCCCTGTGTACTTCATAACATCTCTCAGGGTCCAAATGCTAAAGCAATTGCTGAAAAGATACCATGTACGCTGGAACCGTGCAGAGATATGCTGTTGGCATAAAAAGAAATATTGATCATCTGTAGTAAAATTTCTTCTACTTTAATACTCCTGAGAAAAGAAATTTTCTTTTCCCAGATCTATATCCTCCTGAATCTTCATGAAGACAAGATCCCCTAAACTTCCACTAACACCATAAAGTGTGCTGCCATTTGTAATGTAGTCCACAGATCTCATAAATTGTCAGAAAGAGCAGAGATTGTAAGGTCATCTGCTCCTCCTGTAAGGGCTGCGTCCCTCACTTACATCCCTAATAATGGCCTCCACCCTCTGCAGGAGGGCAGGTTTAGCTGCCAGCTGGGAAGAGCTCTGCCGTCAGCTCTGTCCTAGTCAACATTTTTAACTGTGGCTTTCAGATGAGAACACTGGATGCTTATCTGAAAAAAGCTCCTCAGGCTGGAGGGAGGGCTTGGCTCTAACAGATGAAATGTGATAAGAATAGATGCGAAGCCAAACTCTAGGCACAAAGGCTCTAGCACCACACTTTGGGGAACTGTGGAGATGAGTTTTGGCTGATGCAAGCTTCTCTGTCTGCTAAAGCAGCCCATTGCATTTGGATGGTTCCAGAAGCTGGCACGTTCTTTTTCACATTATGTTAGTACACTCCAGTTCCTTCCTGCCATGGGCTGGCATGCCCTGGCTCCTCCTGCCTTTCCCACTTTAAGTCTTCCCTCCCTCCTCCTGACCTTCCCGTTCCAGCCACACCGGCCTTTTCTCAGGTCCTAAGAAACCATGACTTTCCTCCCTCCAGGCCTTATGCCTGCCATCCATCTCTCTCTGAGAGACACCCCACCTCTTCACACAGCTGGCTTCTCTTCCCTCCAGGTTCAGACGTCTTTCCAGCCTGCCTCTACTGACCTCTTTCAGCTATTCTCACTCTGTACTCTGTTCATTCCTTACCTGGCACTCACCACAATTTATCTTTATCTTCATCTAATTTCTTGGTTGTATTATTTAGTTATTTGCCTTCTTATGTCAGTCATTTATTTATTAAATTTTTTTNTTCTTTAAGAAACATTTCTTTTTAAATTTTATTTTACTATTTATTTATTTATTTTTTTTTGAGATGAAGCCTTGTTCTGTTGCCCAGGCTGGAGTGCAGTAGCGTGATCTTGGTTCATTGCAACCTCTACCTCCCGGGTTCAAGCGATTCTCCTGCCTCAGCCACCCAAGTAGCTGGGATTACAGGCGCCCACCACCAGTCCGGCTAATTTTGTATTTTTAGTAGAGATGGGGTTTCACCATATTGGCCAGGCTGGTCTTGAACTCCTGACCTTGTAATCCGCCCAACTTAGCCTCCCAAAGTGCTGGGATTACAGGCGTGAGCCACCGTGCCCTGCCTATTTATTTTAATTTTTAAAAGTAATTTCAACTTTTGTTTTAGATTCAAGGGGTAGATGTGGAGGTATTACATGAATATATTGCGTTATGCTGAAGGTTGGGGTTTGATTCCGTCACCTAGGAAGTGAG